GGACCGGAAGAATCCAGCACGGGAGAAAGTTTTAGGTCAGAAGACTCAGCAAGTCAGCTTCTTCTGCCCTCTTTATTCTAGCCGCTCTGGTAGCTATTTGGATGCCCAACCATACTGAGCGTAGATCTGCTGCTCTCAGTCCACTGAACAATTGATAATCTCCTTTAGCAATACCATCACAGACATATCAAGGAACAATACTTTGCATCCTTCCCTACAATCAAGTTGATGCTTAATATTAACCATCACAAGTAAATCAACATATGATTGAAACTATCATCACTTAGGTTATTTAGATATTTGATTATGTCACCAATCTCTATCTGTTTCAATGTGATTTTTAAAGATTTACTATCTTCTATTAGAGGATCAGTTTTATGGTTTTCCACATATCATTACATACTACATCCAAAAGGTCTAGGAAGCAATATAGATGCTTCTTGAATAATAATGCATTATGTCTCTAAAAATCCATCATAAACTGAAAATATTGTAATATTGAAAATACATAGAATGCTTCTAACCAACTGAACATCATAGTTTAGCCTAACTTAGGTTAAACATGCTGAGAACACTTATATTAGCTTATAGTTGGGCAAGATTATCTAAAACAAAGCCTACTTTATAACAAAGTGTTGAAAGGCTCACATTATTTATTCACTATGGTACATTGGACAATATGAATTGTTTTAGTAATATCATGGTTGACTGGAAGCTGCAGCTCGCTGCCACTACTCTGCCTCATGAAGGAGTACCTTATCACATATTGATAGCCCAGGAAAATATTGAAATTCCAAGTTTCAAATAAGGTTTTTACTGAGTAAGTATTGGTTTCACCCCTTGGTAAAATAATCTTAAAATGAACCATTGTAAGTCAGAGACTGTTTGTGTAGTAATTACTTCTGATCATAGACTCAGAGGTCAGGGAATGACCAATAGATGGATCCATGAGAGAACAGACCCTACTGAAAACCAGATTTCAATCAGGACTTTATTACCTGTTCCCATCTGCCCCACATTTTAACAAAGGCGGACTGCTTGTGGGAGACATGATGGTCCAGTTATCAATAGCATCAAAATGCCCAGACATTCTCTTATTCCCAGGAGTTGTCACCCAAGTCAATAGCCAGAAATCTATTTTCAAAGGACTGGAACAATCAGTAGAATATACAAACACTCCTTGACTTACAATGGGATTACACTCTAACAAACTCATCATAAATTGAAAATATCATTAATCAAAAGTGTGCTCTGACTTATGATGTATTGAACTATGAGTTTATCCAGATGTAACCACATTACAAGAGGAGGAATGTGCTGAATGCATATTGCTTTTGCACCATGGTAAAGTCAAAAAAATTTAAATAGAACTATTATAAATGGGGTACTCTTGGCATATTACCCACAGGAAAGATAGGTGTTGCAAATGGGTTCCTTATCCCTGGGGTCCTGTCCATGTCCTCAGTTAGAAGGTTCTAGGTAGGAAAATTGGCTCAACTCAGAAAACTGGAAAAGGGAGATGATGATATTTCATTGAGGCCACTGCCTATACTTTCTGCTCCTCCACTCCTGCTTTCTTGTGATTGCAGCAAGCAACCCCCTTGTTCGCTGCCTATTAATTTGCTCTTAAGGACACCATTTCCATAACTCCCTACAGGTGAAGCCTCTTTGGCTCCTAGTTTACCCTTGCTAGTTTTTAAATAATTGCTGCCCCCTGGCTTCTGGCAGTTATTTACCTCAACTTTCTATCTGTTACTTCAAAGGTCTATCACCCTCACAACCACTAGACAATCCAGCTCTTTGACTGTCTCTCCTATCCTCACACCTGCTCTGAATAGGAGAACCATAACTAAACATTTTAGTAATACTGGTGCCCCCACTCACTAGTGCATTCATTGGTGAATGTTGTGTTTTCTGGGGCATTCCACAGAACATATTTCTCTGGTGACTCTTTTGGCCTCGTATAATATGTCGATTTCAGCATTCCCAGTTGCTTCACCTTTGCGTTCCTCAAGTGCATTGCAATGCCCAGCTGCCAGGGAAACTCAGGCATTACCACTTGACTCATCATCATCCATCACATTTTCCAGGCTTCAAAGAGTCACTGGCATAGTGAGTCTGACCCGTCTCCAGGAATTCTGATCAGGGTATTCAATACGGTGTCCATAATAATTTTCCCAAGTCAATAAATTCTTGCTTATTCTCTATTTTCTTATGTCTTATGATCTTATCCTCTTGATTAAGCTCCCTTAATTTTCAAACTCCTGGCTTATTCCAGTACACACTATGTATTTCTTGCAGCTTGTTCATGCCATAATCATACTGGAATTTAACCTTAGTTACAAGCCTGACAATCTAGAGAGGGCCATAACCATAGAATGTATGGGTAACCATACAATCTAGAAAGGGCAGTAACCATAGTCTTTATTATCTTCCTGTGTAAGAGTAGTGTTAGCTCTCACGTTACAAATAAAGGAGTGAGCTAGTTTGCAAAATACATCTTCATGTTCATCCAGTCAGATACCCATATCCCATGTTTCATTGTCCCAGATTTTCTAAACCAGAGTGCACACCTTGGTATAATAGTTCTGTCTTGTTAAGCATTAAACAATCATGGTGTTCTGAGACTCAATTTTCTTTTTCTTCTTTTCTTTCCTTTTATTTTTTTCTTTTAATACAGTGGTCCCATCTTGGCTCACTGCAAGCTCCACTAGGCTGGAGTGCAGTGGCACTATCTTGACTCACTGCAAGCTCCACCTCGCATGCTCAAGCGATTCTCCCACCTCAGCCTCCCCAGTAGCTGGAACTACAGGCATGCACCACCGCACCTGGCTAATTTTTGTACTTTTTATAGAGACAGAGTTTCCCTATGTTGCCCAGGCTGGTCTCAATGCTGGGCTCAAGAGACCTCGCTGCCTCAGCCTCCCAGAATACTGGGATTACAGGCATAAGCCACTGCACCCAGCCAAAACTCAATTTTCATGCCCAAGTTTACTCCCCAGTTGTCGTTACCCTTTTTACTTCAGGAGATAAGAGCATCTTTGCAAGCTTTGCAATCTATCACATTTCATTTTTACTATTTGTTAACTGCCTTCATTTTGTCATTATTACTCTATGTGGTTTCAATATAGCATAGCAATAATCAGTCAGCTCCACTGTCCTTCCTGCCATTGTCCACCCCTCCACATATCTTTCAAATGCCTAAAAGAGTTGTACCAGCCAGGGCATTTCCCTCCGCAAGTGCGTTTTCTCACATCACAATTGGTAAAATTTTCAACATTGGGTCACTTCCTTGTGCTAGGGGATTAAATGTGTCCCATAAATGTATCATTTCACTCTCATTATGATCTGTGTTGGGTTTAGTGCTCTACAAAGCAGACAACTAGATAGGATTAATCATCAGATAGGCTTATTGGGGAAAAAATGTGAAATGTAAAGGATAAGAAGGGAGAAAAACACGAAAAGAATCTTTAGACCATGATTCAGCTCTGACAACCAAGAAAAGAGAGAGAAAAGGAAAGATTGCCTAAGAAAAGTATCAGCCCTCAGTGCAGCTCTGAGAAAGTCTTAACCAGGCCAGTTCAGAATCCTCATGCAAAAGTTGACCATTAAACGAGTTTCATTTCTGGCCAGAATGGGCTAGCTCTCGTCCTCTTACTGTGTCTGGTCATTGTCTGGGAGCAGCCAAGGGAACCATGAACTTTGTGTGAAGGTAAAGGTGCATCTAATGGTGTAGAAGCCAGAGGACATCAGTCAACAATGCTATCATATCAGGTTCCCTTGAAGGGATATGTGAAAGGTACACATATATTTTTACAATTTTTCATTTTTCTAGGCTGTAATATGTAAGTTATTTCTGCTGGAATAACATGTCATCACTATTGAATTTCATTGAACTGCCCTCTTACCATAGTTGTTTTTGTTTTTTGTTGTTGTTGTTGTTTTTGTTTGTTTTTGTCAGAGTCTCGCTCTTTCACCTAGGTTGGAGTGCAGTAGTGTAATCACAGTTCACTGGAGCCTCAAATTCCTGGGATCAAGCAGTCCTCCCAGCTCAGCCTCACAAGCATCTGGGACTATCAACATGAGCCATCATGCCTACCTAATTTTATTTTTATTGATTTGTAGTTTTTATAGAGATAGGGTCTCACTATGTTGCCCAGGCTGGTCTCAAACTCCTGGCCTCAAGAGATCCTCCTACTTTGGCCTTCCAAAGCGCTTGGATTACAAGTGTAAGCCACTGTGCCCAGCTGGTAATTCTTATTTAATGCGAACACTATCTTCTTGTAACTTTATAGAAAATGTCAAATGTATATTTTCTTAAATTATCTTAATGTTCTCAACTATATTGTTAGTAAAAAAAAAAAAAAGTAGTCTTATGAGTACAAAGGGCATGGGGTCTTTTCTCTTTATTAATTTCTAAGTGAAAAAAAATTGAAGTTTGTGTGAAAGGCCAGACTAATAAGAAAGATACATTACATTATTTTCATTTTACCTGAGAAGTGATAGGGTTTACTTTTTACATGTAACTGGAAGAGGAGCTGACATTATATAATGTATAATAGACTTTCTAGCAACTGGTATTCCTGCACCTGAAATTAATACTTATATTTCAGGGAATGTCCCAACTATTTAATGACATAATCTGAGCATGTGTTTAATGGAAAGTGGCCTGGAAAATATTGAAATACAAGACAATAATAGATTAAGCCTTATTTTGCCCATTCATTGCTTAGGATTATTTTTTAAGAAAAAAGAAAGAAAAGAGAACTCTCAAAGTAAAAATTTCACAGGGAAAAATTTCTATATCTACCTCCTGCCTACAGTGTCTTTATATCTGATCATCTAAAGATTTTGCTGAAGCTGCCTACATTCTTGTGTGGGTGTGGTAGTAGTAGTGGATGAGTAGTTATGGCAGAGATAGATGCTGGTAATATAAATAAAGCCAGTGAGTCTGTCAGGGTCTCAGAAAGGGGAAAAAAGGCACAAAGAAATGTGAATCTGAAGACAATTTAATGAAGGTATTATTGAGTAGTAGGTTGTTTTAAGAAAATAAAACTGGATATTGAAAAAATAATGCATGCTGGGCACTCAGAGACTACTATCAGGAAGCCTTTATCAGCCCCTTGGCCTGAAGAAAGAAGGCAAGACAAGCCTGTTACTATATTTCCCTAAGAGTTGTAGTTGTAGCAGGTGGGTGACCAGAGAAGGGACACATCCAGTGAGAACCCCAATGTCAAAGCATGCTGGAAGTAGAATAATAAATAGCCCAAATGCTCTCTCCTCTTGAACTATAATCTGTCACGGCATCACATTGGCTCAATTCAACTAAACACCAAAAGACAAAGGAGTTTGGGCTTACAATATGTGAAAGTCAGCCCTCCAGTTTACAGAGCAGTGCACAAAGGACAGAGAGCAAATCTGGGGAGGCAAATGGCACAAGCACCAGATCCTTCTAGCTAGATGAACCTTTTGGGTTCTGTCTGTCCAAGCTGAGTCATCTCATAGTCCACCTAAATCCTCATCATTTTCTGATTTGACTTTATTTGTCTGAATTGCTTTCTTTTCCGGCCTCTATATTCCATATTACTGGAGTAATGCTTGTTCAGGGAGACTGACTTTGCTCCCAAGTTACAGCTAACGATGTGTAAGCATGACCTATAATTCATGTCCCAATCACTCATTTCTCTGATTGAATGTATGTGTGTGTGTGTATGTGTGGGTGTGTGATTGTATTCATTTTTATTTTATGAGATAGATAAATCATTAAGTTCTTTAAATCCAATTTGGTTTGGCAGAAAATTCTTCCATATTCTTAAATATATTTATATATTTAGGTTTTGTCAATATTTTAGGCTACTGTGATTTTTTGTATCTTTTCTGAAGCTTTCACAATTATTTACATACAAATATAAAAAGGGAATCCCAAAGGTATGCACTTACTTGTTTATCCTCTTTGAAATTTTACTATCCAGTTTAGGAGAAGCTGAGGTTTATGGACATCACGGAGAAGGTCTCTAGGATCTTATTTCTTTTGTAAGAGCAAAGAGCACCTTTTGGAAGGCTGCCCTAAGTTCTTTGGTCTGAAGTGCATAAACTATAGGGTTGAGGGAAGGGGGGATGATGTTGTGCAACACATTAAGTAGAACTGGAATCAAAGTAGCCCTCATCTCTGTCAGATGAGTTACTGAAATTACTACAACAATAGTGTAAAAGAAAAGGATGAGGGTAAGATGTGAACTACAAGTGCTCAGGGCCTTGGCTGCAGCTTCAACTGAGTTCAGTCTAAGTACAGAGTACAGAATCAAAATATATGACAGTATAATAAGACTTAGATCACTCCCCATTCCAAGCCATGCCAGGACAAACTGGCAAATGCTGTTTGGCCTCCTGTTATCACAAGCCAGGCTGTGACCCCAAGGTTAGAGCACAGGCAGTGTTCAATTTCATTCCTGGAGCAATAGTCATGCTGCACTGCAAGCACAAGCACCGGGATGACAAATAAGCCATTTCTCAGCACCATGAACAGGTTAGCTTTTAAGATTAAGGAACTGGTGACAACGGATGGATAGCGAAGAGGGTGACAAATAGCCACATATCTATCAAAAACCATGCAGAGGAAGATACCAGACTCCATGCCCACAAAGAAGTGAATGGCATAAATCTGAGCAAAGCACTCAGGGAGGCTAATGACCTTGGCATCAAACCAGAAGATGGCCAGGTTCTTAAGCGTGATAGTAGTGGCCAGACCCATGTCAACCACAGAGAGGATGCCAAGGAAAAGGTACATGGGCTGCTGCAAAGAAGCGTTCTGCCAGATGATGAGGAGGATGAGGGTATTTGCACCAAGTGCTGAGAGATACAGTAGTGCCAGGGGCAGAGATAGCCAGTGCTGCCAGCTGTGAATACCTGGGAATCCCAGCAGGATAAACTCAGAGACCTGGAATTTGGAGCTATTGGAGACTTTGAGAGATGCAGACATATGATTCATGATTCAACATGAATTTCAAATCTCTATTTGTATTGTTCTCAGTTATCACAGGTTGGAATCACCACAGAAATAAAATTGTAGTGTTTTTCTAAGTCTTTCTTCTTCTCTTTAGAAATTATACAGATTAAATGGATGTGCTTGTTTTCCTCGTGTTTGTCTCAATGTTACTTGACTCAGAGGTTTATCAACTAATAATAACTAGGTTTTTAAAATGAAAAATTATAGGAGATGAAATTTATAGCTGCATCATTTCAAGTTGATGTAGATGTCCATTAATGTCTTACATAGTCTTCCAAAATGTTGATATCATAGTCTTGTAAATATTTGCAGAAACAAATCATATTGCAGATTTGGGGATAGTTTTCTTTCATATTCTACTTTGTATGCACTTCTGAAGAGGCTGCAAAACAGTAGCTTAAAAGGAAGTTAGTGATTATAGCTGAATTTTTCCATGTGAGAAGTCATATAATCAAGACATACCTTAGTAAGTTTTTATAGTTGAATCTTAGAGAACTTATAAAGACATAAATACAGGATTTAGGTAAAACTAATAAGACGCTTTTAAAGATAACTGTGGTAACAACACGATATTAGGTCAACTCTATTCATTTTTTTAGTGCTCTTTACACTGTTAACTACAGGCACAATGTTGTACAGCTGGTCTCTAGAACTTATTCATCTTGTACAACTAAAACTTTCTATCCATCGAACAGTAATTTTAACTTATTTAATAAACAAGAATTATTTGTCCATAATGTTGAAGGAATTGCCATTCAGTGTTCAAAAATCACTGTTAAAATTAGACTCATTATCTTTTCTAAGACTTTGTTGTTATCCATGTACTTTTTGTTCTGTATGGTGGCTCAACCAGACAAGCTTGAATCCAGAAAACTAACCTCCCCTTGCTGCAAATGATTGCCTTCTTATATTGTTGATTTCTTTTCTTTACTTCATATGCACTCTTTTTTTTTTTTTTCAGTATTCTTTCTGCAACCTGCCTGGAGCAAATGTTTCTCATTTTCCACACTTCTTTCTTTCTGCTAGCAATCTGATCTTTCAAACATTGGTATTCCTTTGTTTAAAATAATACATGGCTTCACATTTTCTTTTAAATACAATACTTTATTATTATAATCCTTATTTATTTGTTATTATTATTTATTACAATCCTTCATTTTGCATAAAACACTCTCAGATATGACTCAAACCGAAGTGAATATGATCTCTTGCTTTGAACTTATTTGTATTCTACACTGCAGATATATATAATACTTACTCTATGCTAAAATTAGTAATTTTTCAAGGCATTTTATTGCCAATATTTTTGCCATGGTGGAAGCTATTGCAGGTTTATAAGCAAGAAACAAAAACTGGAAAGCCATGTTCAAAGCTTAAAATGTTATTTTTAATGTATTAGTTATGGATTTATTTTGATATAATTATTGTTAAATATCAAAAAATCTGGAAGAAAATAAAATTCTTTTATTGTATCAATTCTTACTAAAAACTAAATGTATTTCCTTTCGGATATTTCTTATTGCCTGTATGTTTGAATAAACATATACTCCCAAATGATAGAATAAATCATCCTTCTTTAATGGTGAATGTAATTTGATAAAGAGTAAAATTATCTAAATGTATCTACAGAAAATTTGAATGACTAAAAGACACACACAATAAAGCTAGTTTTACTTTGAGCTTTTAGAGGAGAATTCTAAACACAATAGTTTTATCCTGGATGTGTGGAAGTATGTAACCCATTTGATGTACAAGGCCTGACATTTTTACTTAATCCTCATTTATTACTTTATATCCTAATATTGCATAATCTTTTATCTTTGATGCTTTCACTATTAAAATTTATTTCTGATTTATGTATGTGTGATACAATTAAGAGAAGATGTATGTTTGAGCTCACAGAAAAATAATTGTTTTTAATTTTTTTTACAATTATATTCTAGCGTGACATAGAATATGATTCTGCTGTATAAAATAGTTAATATATGAACCCTGAAGATAATCTGGCAGTGTTGTTTTTTGTTTATAGACAAGGTAACTTCTAGTGCACCATGTGAGCCTTCATATTTTCTAATTCTGACCTCAACCTTTTTTGCAAAGGCCCTCCAATCCTCTATATGCTACTAAAGCAGAGACAAATATCAATCTTTTTTGCAGAATGTTGACAAAACAACATAATGTTTAGGATAAGCCATTGAACTCTCTGGAATTTAGCCAAAGCGACCATGAGAAGATTTTATTACTTACCATGCTTATGAACAAAGGCTCACAGTCTGGGATCCTAGCAGTGGCAGAAGTTTTCTACTGGGCAAAAACAGAACTTTATGAGAAAGATGCTTTAACACAAGATATGTTGTCAGCTAAGATATGGCACAGAAATTATAAACTTCTGAAATTTATGGAGAGTATTTAAGCAGCTCAGTGACCTAAGCATAACAGACCTCCTTTGCAGATATGATGAAAGACCTATAGAGAAAGTTGAATTCCTAGGATGTTAAATCCCACTAGAATAGAAAGCAGGTTAACTCAAAAACATGTATCCTATTAATATAACCTAAGAATTTACATGAATAGAAGAATATCTTCATTTATTAAATCAAAATGAACCTAGAAAGGTGAAAAATTCTAGAGTGTTTGAATGGTTTTTAAGTACACAAACTCTGGGTGTTCTAAATTCTGTGGCTAGGCGATTTATTTAAACACTTTTAAAAGAGAAAGTATTCATTCCAAAATACATATTTAGTTCTGACTGTTTGAAAAACATGTTAGGCATAAAGTGATCAATAGAACAGACATCATTTCTGTTCTTATTGAAATTGTGGTCTAGTTGAGGTGGGGGGATAGAATAATAACTAAAAAATCAAGCAAATATATAATAATAGACTGGGATTTGTGCTTTAAAGCAAAAGTACCAAGTGATGAGTTCACATGAAGAAAAAAATAAATTAATCTCTTGTTGTCAGAGAGGATTTCCTGAAGAAATGTTTGTTCTGAGGACAACTGTTTGAATAGAAAATAACTATGGTATCTGTGTTGGGGTGGGGAGAAAAAAAACTTTTCATCCAGGAATCTTTAAATGTTAAAATGAGAGGGATCAAGGCATAGTCAAGGTAACAACAGAGTGTTACAACAATGTGTCTGGTAATCTCAACGTAACAACAAGGTAACCTCAAGGTGACAACAATGTGTCTGGAAACCTCAAGGTGTGGTGGAACATGGGAGGTGATGTGAGATGGTGCTATTGAGGTCACAGTGGTCAGATAATTTTAAGCAAATTTATGCTAACACGATATGGAGCCACCGAAAGGCTTTAGGATAATTTAGGCATAGCAGCAATGTGAAGACCAGATTGTACGTGGCAAGAATAAATATAAGTAAGTTGGATGAACACTGACAACAGTACTTCAAGGGTGAGACAGCTTTATTTTAAGCTGTGAACATAAGGAGAAATTGATGGATATAGAAGTTATACAGGATGTAAATTTGATAATATTTATGACTCCAAAATAACTCTAAGTTTCTGGTACGTGCACTGGAATGGAATATGTCATTCATGTACCTAAGGATGATTGGAGAAGAACCAGATTATGGGGGAAGAGAATGAGTTCAAGTGAGGTCATGACCAATATGAGGTGCCTGCCTTTGAAGTGTCCAAGAGATGATTATTTAGCAAAGAGATGAAAAAGTAGTTTCAGAGAGCAAGGGAACAATTTGAGAAAAATTGGAGTGACTATTATTTTATTTGGAAATCACTGGAATATTTGAATTATTGCTATTAGCACAAATAGATGCTTCAGCAAGTGAGGATACTGACAGAAAGAAGGCGGTCTAGCATCTGGTTTTGAGAAACTCATCGTGATGTCTAGGTAAATGCTGAGAAAGAAAGAGACCAAAAATAACCTATATAGGAAAAAACAGATTGATTTTTAAAGAAGGCAAAGAAATTGATTCATAATTTCACTCTACTGACAGATCTAATGAAACATAGTTTTAAGCAATATTGATGGATTCAGTCTCTTGGAGGTTACAAATGACTTTTTGAAAAGATTGTCTATTTTTGAAATACATAAGAAAAAGTCATATTGGCATGGGCTAAAGAGTAAGTTAAAGGCTAGGAAATAGTAAAATTTGTGCCCATAAAATTTTACAGGAAGTTGTACAAACAAGAAAATATAGGGCAGAAGTTGGAAGTTTAGAGTTGGAAGTTAGGGTTTAGAGTCATTTGTAGTAGAAAGTAGAATGGTGGTTACCACAGGCTGAAAAGGGTGAAAGGTGGGGAACTGGGGAATGGGGAGATGTTGACCAAAGTGTATAAAGGTTCAGTTAGAGAGGAGTAGTAAATTTTCAAGAACTATTGTACAACATGATGACCGCAGTCAATAATAATATGTGGTATGTTTCAAAATTGCTGAAAGAATAAATTTAAAATGTTCTTACTGCAAAGATATAACTTTATGAGGTGATGGTTATGTTAATTAGACTGATAAATCATTCCACAAAGTGTACATATATCAAAATACCACATTGCATCCCTTATATATAATTATTAGTCAATTAAAAATGAAAATATACATCAAAAATAAAAATTAAATTTTAAAAAAGCATTTCTTGTTTTAAGATGGGGAAAAATAATGCATCTTTGGAGGTTGGTATGAACCATTTGATAGAGAGTAAAATAGATTGTTGATAAGTCAGAGAGAATTGGATAAATAAGAGCATATGATTGCTGAAAAGAGGAGAGGTGATGAGAGCCGCCTTCCACGGCTCACATGCAAAGACCTACCTCAAATTGGAAGAATGGTACCTCTCACATAGCCTTAGAAAAGGTGGTTAAATGTTTGCATATGTAGGTGGGTTTGATACAATATATTTGTTATGTTTAGTTAGAGGAAATTTAGAGCTACCATTTGGTAATGTTTTAGGGAAATGTTTGGACCAAGAACAGGAAGGAAGCTGCAGATTAATCAGAAATTTATTTTTAATGTAGAGAAAAGGCTTACAATTCTGAGACGTACACAACAATTCTGGAGGTGTCAGAAAACCGT